GGGATGTTAGACAATAATACTAATAGTACTTCTAGTAGTATTGGTTATGGTAGTGTTTGATTATTAGTCAGTTTCCTACTCCTATTTGTGGTAGCTAGATGTTGTATGTTAGTTAGTTTCCATTCTCTATTCCTAGTTGTGTTAGGAGTCTCTCCTATATATACTCTATCATGTACTTCATAATTCAAGGAGCAATATTATTATTCCAATATTTCAACAGGATTAATTTTAAACCTCTAATAAGGCTACATTTCAAAAACTGTTACAGACAAGAAGTCATCACAACATCAGGTTCACAATCGTCTTTCCATATCTCGTGCTCCCACGCTATTGTCACTGAAAATGAGACTTATGTAGTTGAATCGATAAAAAAAGATAATCCAAGGGGCTAGACATTTATTGATAGATTAACCTATGATTAACTCTATATTTTATTTGAACGGTAACTCAAATTCAAAACTTCCCGAAAAAAGAGTCTTAAGTACGTCTTAAGTACGTGTTGGAGTATATAAATTTACATTTGAATTCTGATATAGACCCCACTTTAATACTCCTATCATTTTTATTACTCCTTCCGTCTACATAGATCTTCCCAATAGCCATTTTTTCTTAATCCACAATAGATCTTCTCATTTCATTTTTTAACAATCAAAATACCACAACTACCCTCACTTACTTTATTTATTACACCTCACCCACCTCATTTACTACACTCCACCCATTTTCATTAAGGGTATTATTGTAATCTTTTACCTTTTTTCAACTCTCCTTAAAAATCACCAAAAGTCAAAATGAGAACATTTTAGGGGGACGGAGGGAGTATAAAATTTGTGCTATTGCATGTGATCATAAAGTATAAATGTGAAATATAGACTTATTATAAAAAAATTATGATTTTATAATTGATTTTTTTAACAAATTCACTATGAACAATCATTTCATGAATCCAAAGACTAAAAAGAATTTGTCTTATTATGGTTGGGACAAATATGTTGAATAGTTGAAGAATGCATCTAATGTGGGGGGGCAGTTAGGTATGGCCGGCCCAATAGAGTCCCTGTGGTGCGTTTACATTTACACGTCCTTTCTAGGAAAACTCTCCAATTTCACTAGTGTCCGTATGGCGTATACCGAAGGAAATTTCAATTCAAAGAGTATTCAAAGAGCATACTTTTGAATAATTAAATTTCTAAAATGATTCTCTCTAATAAGATATTTTTTCAGACTAGTATTTAATACGTGGTAAATTGTAATTACTTAGGGGGCGTTTGGTTCAGGGGTAAGGGAATGGGGAAAGGGAATGAGATTCCCTCACTCCCTTTGTTGATGTTTGTTTTGGAAAAAAATTCATTCCCTTTCCCTATTTTTAAGTTTTGGATTACCCGTTTCAGGCTTTTCCCATTCCCCAGCTTATATCCGGGTTTCCTTTCTCATTCCCTGCGATACCCCCATTCCCGTTTCTTCTTCGCCAATAGCCAAGCTTCGTTTCTTCTTCCCCCGTCGCAGCAGAAGTCCTTTTAGCCCAACCTCATAAGCCCACACTTTTCTTCAAGTGCTCTAGTGCTTTGAGAACGAGATATGTCAAAGGTCTTCTAGGTGAAAGTTAAGGAGGAAGCCCAAAAGTGCTTGTATTGGTGTCTTTATTTTGGACGATATTGTTTTGTTCATGACAATTGTTTTTTTTGTCCTTGTATTGTTGACATTGTTCTATTTTTGAAGTTTTGGACGGGCAATATTGTTTGAAACGATCGTATCATCTTGAAAGTATGTTGTGATATATGAATTTTGTTTAATTGTATATTTGATAAAATAAATAAGTATTATTTTTAACAAATTGATCATAGCTGTGTAAAAAAATTTGATTCCCCTGTTTTGAACCAAACACGAACAAAGGGAATTCTATTCCCTTTCCTGTACTGAACCAAACAGACAGAGTAATTCAGGGGTAATCATTCCCTTTCCCCTGATTCCCTTTCCTGTTTCCTTTCCCTTTCCTCAGCATGAACCAAACGCCCCCTTACATGTTTCTCTATAATGAGATTTATTTTCTAGATAATTCATTGTAAATGATGTTTTTCACTTGATGATTAAATGAGAGGTATTTTAATATTTTTTGTCAGCTAAATTTAGAATAAACTCTTAAAATGATTATTTCTAATGAAGTGTTTTTCCAATATGGTTTTTCTAATTAAAGATGTATATTTGATTAATATTTTAAAATATTTTTTTTAAATAGGTTTTTAATAATCCATTAATTATTGATAGTCAATGCATGTATTTTTTATTTTACATTAAATTGTCTAGTCTTAGACAATAATAATAGTATTACTTATGGTAGTATCATTTATGGCACTATTTGATTATTAGTCGTCTTCTTACTTCTACTTATGGTAGATGTAGTATTTTAGTGAATTTCTAATCTCTATTTCTAGTTGTGTTAGTAGTCCTTCTTATATATACTCTACCATGTACTCCATAATACAATTAACAATATTATTCAATTGTTTTAATATTTTAATATGGTATCGGAGCCACCGTTCTTGGTGACCTAAAATTTTATGCGCCCGCTCATGGCGGGTGGCGCCGTCATTAGCTGCCCGACCGTTGTTCTTCTTTATTCCTTGAAATCTTCAATCTCTCTATATTTTCCAAATACAGTTGTTATAGTCTGGTTGTTGTATTCCAACCACGACCTTGAGATGCTCAAGTGGCTCATGGTCAAATCCCTCCATATCCATAGTCTTCTTCTTCTCTACCACTTATTCCTAATCTACTTTTTCCTCTCTCATCAATCTTTCTTCTCCTTCTCTTATGAATAAGAAGTAAAAAACTCCAAAATAAATCAAAATAAAAGCAAAGCAAAGAGAGGAAATAGAGAAAGGTGAAGGAAAATCTCAACACTCACTCCTTCAAGAAAGCCAAACAAATTTTCCCAATTGAGAAAAGAAATTGGGCATTGCCCGGATCCAAGAAATGAACATTATTACTTGATAATTAATTAAATAAATAAATCCTTATATGGAATTAAAATTAAGAGGTCCTATTTAGGGAAATGAACAATGTTTTACTCCTATATATGCAACAAATCTTACATACTGTTGGCAACATAAAAAAGAAGCTGGATCGAAGAAGTAAATTGAATCTCTTTGGGACTCGGTCGAGTATCTTTCCTAGTTTCTTTAATTATTGTTTTAGTATGAATTGAAATTTACACATCACATCTTTTTTTAATAATCTACACATCACATCCTACTTTTACCCATTACATCAAAGGTATTTTTCGAAAATCAATACAAAAATATTCCTCCATTAAATTCCTAAAAATCAAAATGAGAACATATTTTTGGGACGAAGTAAGTAATTTAAATTTGTATCTGTTGAAATATTGGAATAATAGTATTGCTCCTTGAATTATGAAGTACATGATAGAGTATATATAGGAGAGACTCCTAACACAACTAGGAATAGAGAATGGAAACTAACTAACATACAACATCTACCACAAATAGGATTAGGAAACTGACTAATAATGAAACACTACCATAACCAATACTACAAGAAGTACTATTAGTATTATTGTCTAACATCCCCCCTCAAGCTGAACTCTGGCTGAAGCAAGAGGAAGCTTGGACACTAGCTGGAAACTTTGAGAAGAGAGAAATCTGACATGCGCCGGTGGCTGCTCACGTCGTTGGAGAAGAGAGAAGTGTGACGCGCAC